GTTAATGTTCAAAATTGTATAAAATGATAATAAATTATAGAATTTGTAGTGTAAAACATTTTGTAATCAGAATTTACTTTTTTTAACATGATTCTTCAATTTTAGAATTGTTTTCWACTATTGTAAAGTAATTAGAAATTCAAATTGAATAATAGTCTGTATTTAGAGTCCTAAATACGTATCAATATAGATGTAATGTTTTATTTCTATCAGATAATCTAACAATCAGTTACATTTATCCACAATGAGCTCATCTTCTATTTATATACCAATTTAAAATGCAGATTAAATACATAAATAGTTAATACTGTGTTAAATATAACTGCCCGAAGATGCACATTTTATTTCAAAAGGTTGGTATCTAATTTCAAACAATTTACTTACAGTTTACTTCATCAATTAATTTTGAATAATTTTTTTTATTCATATAGCTTGGTAGCTCATTTTTAATGTACTTAACTTGTAAGGTTGTGAAAATTTATGATAAATCTATATTTATTTAAGAAAAAAATATTTAGTAATATTATGTTTATCTCAAATATATCAAATTTATGATTAAAAAAAAAAAAATTAACACAATGGTTAAATATGTCATTAATTGTGGAAAAGAACAATAATATCATGAAATAATTTAACTGAATGAATTTAAAAATAAAAATAGAATATACTTTAGTTTTTTTATTTTTATTTTACTTTTATTTTAATACACTGTTAGGCTTGAACCGTTTTTAAAAACATGGTCTAGCACACTTCAATGAAATGCGATTCTTGTAATACGTATATATAAGTATCGCTGTACAACGATTTTGATCTCATCAATAATAGTTATTATAATTATTATAATAATTATCATGGGAATCGAGAGTAGTCTATGTATCTATCAACAGGTTTTTTTTTTAATTATATAATAAAACTGCAGGAAAAAATTGACAATATTGTTTCATTGCGTCTTGTAATACAATATCAAAAAAGGTAATTAAAAATGTAGTTTATTTAGCATCTACACATAATTATATTTAATTTTTATTTCTTTCAATGTACTTACCTGAATTCATATTATTTTAATWTCTTGAGTTTTACATCTTTGAAATAGAAAAGTGATAAAACAATTAATGTTAAAACTATAAAATTACAATAATTGCATTACTAAAAAATAAAAATAAGAATATCATGAACGATAGAATACCAATTGAAATTACAATAAATTAAAATGTCCTTATGAAAATTCAAGGAAAATTGGTATATACCTTGTAGCAGAAAGATTTGAATAGTTAAAAATTAATTTTATATAATTTGTTAATATACATTTATTAATTATAGCTGGTCCTGCATAGCGTTGCCAGTTACAAATTAAACGATGTCATTGAATTCGTGAAAAATKTCGTTAATTAAATCTACATAAATTTTGATACATTATATTGAATAGTGGTATTGATCAAGTATAAAATATAGGTTCAAAATTGTCTAGAATTTTAATAACCACACTATTCTCTATAACATTTTATGTAATCAAAAAAAAAAAAAAATTTGGGAAAAAATTGGGTAAAAATCCAGAAAGGCAAAAAATAAAAAATATTCGTTTAGCCTCTCTTCAAAAGTTAAAGTTTAAAAATTTGATATAAGTGAATATCTTTGGATGTAGGATATACCCAATTTCATAACCATGATTGTTATTGTGCGATACACTTAAAAGTTACAATACATGTACACATATTCACAAATATTCCCTTTTATTAATATAGATAAATAGATAAGTTTAGAACTTATATTACTGCAAATATATTTTATTTAACAATGTTAAAAAATAAGTAGGTACCTACCTATAAATTACAATAACTGAATTAAAATTTTTATAATGAGCTTTGAGGATTGAATATTTCGTGATTACTAACATTATTTTCTGGGTTGTTAAAATTTTTTTTTACAATATTATGTTTTATTAAAATATTCTTTGAACAATATAGTTACTTAATAAAACTAATTGTATATCCAACGTTAGTAGTATTCGATATACTTAATTAAAATTAAAAGTAATTTTACAAATCAATAAATATAATAATGGCCATTCRTTTTAATAACTATGCATATTTTAATTTCATATTAGACCCATAGGAAGCGTGAAAATTATTTAAAAAAAAATATACTTAACTGCAGGCTAATGGTATTATTATGTACCTATATTATAAATATTATTTAAATATGAAAAAAAAATCAAAACTATGAAACTTAAACATCTCCGAGTTATTTAWAGAAAGTAATAACTAATAAGTTGTTGTATGGTTTCTATTGATGAATTGAATTTGAATATACATTGCTAGCTATTTAAATATTTACTATGAAGTATGAACCACTCTGTAACAACTCAGGTAGATGAGGTCAAAGTACAATATAACTTCAAAGACCCTTCAAATGTAAACAAATCTTCAAATCATCTCACMAAACTTTGGACAACTAAAGTGGAAATAGTTTTTGCTCAAATTCCAAMTTGAATGGATCTCTGGATACTAAATACTTATTCATATATTCAATTAATTATATTTCTATGTGGGTATAACTCACTAACAAAATATCGTGTATTTTATTGTTATTTAAATATGTTAAGCATTACTATGATTGAAATTGTTCACATTGTTTACACATTATTTAAAATAATGCAATAACGTTATCTTATATATCATACAGCCACGGGTTGAATATTGATTAGCAAAGAAGACACGAATCCCGTTTTATCACATTAAAACATATTTATTTTAATCCAAATGATTTCGACCCATATGAGTTGGGTCCGAGMACTAGGGTTAAATCGTAGGTACTATACTAGTTGAGTCCAGGGTTTTTTTAAGTAAGTAACAAAGCATTTTATGTAAATATATAATTCGAATGAAAAAAAAAAATGGGTAAATGTATGTTACTCTGCTACATAGTAGTTTACAAGTGGATTACTGCAATAGATTTTATTAAATTTGAATTCAATGATATAATATCATTGTACACAAAAAACAATTCTGAGCGGAGACGCTTTGTCAGTATAGGATGTTTTATAGTTTTATACTATATTAATTATATTGCTATTGTTAAAAAAAAAAAAAAAAGTTGGGACCTATAAAATACATTTTTAATTAATCAAATCAGATTCATTATGTACCGAATCACTCAGTCAAATTAATATCCTACATACATGGAATTGGTYCTACTATAGGCATATGAGTAGGTTAGGTTAGATTACAAGGGAGAAATCTCTAMCTGGTGAACCTGCAGGTCAACAATTTTAACTGGCTAATTCATCCAGGTGCTAGGTGCATATGATTTTTATGATATAAGTATTATTTTAAAATTATTGTTATTTTAATATTACCTATTATGTTTGTACGAGACTAAAAACAATAATATTATACAGTATACTCGAGATGGGTTTTCCGTTAAATTTTATCTTGTATAATATTTCGTTATTTTTCATAAATCAAAATTATCGTAAATTTGATAATAAACGAATATTGATAACGTGCT